GAACCTGAGTGAGAATAGGCGATCTCAATGGATAAAGGACTAGTCATTTATCCAGTTGAGTACTTTCGAGATCGAGATAAGGGGAACCAGTCTCAACCTTCACTGTATTCTCGTTGTGGTATGCAAATGCCAGCACCGGTGGATCAGAGAAAGGAATTTCAACCCCATGCTCAGAGAAGGAATTTGGACCCAAATACACGACCAACTACTATGGTACTTGGAAGAGATCGTAGCTCAATTTGTCCTCATTGACTCTACTTTGCAAACAAAAATGATGATATCTTTGTACCTGATCCGCGACCCCCGCCTTCCCTTGAAAGAAACCGTGTCTCTTTAATGGATCTATATGTCGATGTTTATGAGCTGGCTTAAGAAGAGACGAAGATTGAACTTACTAAGTTGTTGGTCAACCTAGCGGAACACCTAGAAAAACCAGCAAGCGATGTAGTTCAAGCCCAAGATGGCGAAGGACGGCAAGAGATTGATAATGAGTAAGATCGCGCTAATATCAAAAACGTGGAATCTGCATTTGACGATGATTCGGATTCTCACGATTGGAGAATAGAGAAATCGGAGGAGAATATCTAGGAGCTCACAACTCGTATCGATTAGTTCAAGATTCAACTTGCCAGAATTAAGGATCCACCAGATGAGACCTTTGGAAAACAAGGAGTTTCTAATAACATGATTAATTTGTTTCCTAAGACAAAAGGTTCATTTGTTTGTTATGATGCAGGTCATGAAGCTTATTCTGAAAGTAATGTGTCTAGGAACAAAGATAATTAGTTTTTCATAAGGTAAGACATAAAGAACTAGAGATGGAACGTGTGCTCACGGAACACATTTTGCATGATAAAGATCGCGTTCCACCAATAGACAAGAAGATACTCCACAAGGCGAGACATAAAAGGTTGGCAGCTGGTCATCAACCTCCTTCTAAGAGACAAAGGGCACAAAAGACGAAGAAAATGCTAGCACAACATGCTTCAAACGGTGAAAAAGATGAATCCCTAAGGATTTTTGATGATGATCCATATCATTAAATAAGAAGAAGACATCCTCTTGCTGAACAAGGTAACAAACATAAAACCTTTGAAATTCTAAATGATCATCCAAGTTTTGCAGGAAAAGGACAACGCAAAAAGAAGTTCACGATTGAGTCAAAGTCCCCCGATCCTCATAACCATATAGACTAGGACATTCGAGATGGAAACCTTGGTGAAAAGGATGAACCAGTTAACATACTTATTGGAGATCCTAATTTTACAATCAAAGGAGAATATCCTAAGGAGCTCATGGTTGACCAAAAAGCTCCTGATCCGGCATTGACC